TGTTAGGGGAAAATGGGGAAAGTTGGCGACGCGCACCCAAAACTCGGTGAAGATAGCTATCGCCGAATTTCGGATGCGGCATGACCAGGATGAAGAGAAGCCCAGAGACTACTCGGCTTATAGGCAAGATAGAGTGGACGGCAGACAAGGCGGAGGCGTACNACTCCTACTGGTAAAAGCCGCTTACATCCAATGGGACTCACCAGTAAAACTGGCAAGCCAGGGCGCGTAGTATCCTCTTGATAAGACGACCGTTAGTAGTGCTGCTAGTCTATCGCGCACCCCAGGCGGAACCCGGGGAAGATATGGAACTACTTGCTACAATGCAGGAATTCATATCGGGACACAAAGGATCTTCATTCTGGGTAATTTCAATCGTCCGGAGATCTGTTGGGTAGAGGTAGAGGCTCCCTTTTTTCAAACACAAATTTTTCAACACATACACAAACAACCTTCAAAACGACTCCACCCATCCAGCTTTTGTCTTTTCACCTCCACACGATCAACGTTTGACATCTTTACCGCGTTCAGTATGCGCAGTTTTCATTTCTCTTCCCTGATTGAACTCAGTTTTAGATAACATAAACCCATCGTCATGTGTACACGTTTTCATTTCCCACATTTCCGCCGGTGTGACTTTTCGTCTTCATATCTCCTTATCCACAGCATTATAATCTGTCAGAACTGTGCTGCATTGCTCACCTTCCTTTTTATAAATTTCCCGAATGAACAAAATTGTTCACTGACCGTTTTGTGTTTATCATTGTTTCTCGCGCGCAAACAGAACGCGTTCTGTTGTTTTTTCTTCTTAACCCCATTAACTGTTGACCCAAATGTTCTGCCATTTATTGTACAAAACGATCGTGCATCCCAGCATGCCTCACAACTTTCGTTGTGAAATTGTTATTCTAAAAGCTTTCTAACATGGCTACATGAACATGCGCTCATTCAGCATATCATGCAGGCCACAAGGTTTCGCAACCAACAGAGGGCCTCCGTCCTGGACTTAGTTATAACGCCGTATATATCAGACATAAGTGAGGTAACAGTGGAGAATCCACTGGGTAAGAGTGACCATGGGGTACTTAGGTTAGTATTACCCATGAAACACAGTAAACTGGGTGCCCCACTTAAAAGTTGCTATAACCGTATAAACATTGCTGCCCTACAAGAGGCCGCAGAACCCGTAGATTGGGTGCCACTAGCTCCCGAGCCAACTTTAGAAAAGGTAGGGCTGCTTAGACTGACCGATAGGTTTGCACCATTCAAACCTAGAAACAATAGGCAACGACCAGCTTGGTGGAAGCCACAGCTAGATCGGGCACTAGTAGTTCGAAGTGAGTACCGGACTGCCGATGCGTAGTCGACCTGTGAAATCGACGTGGTCCGAGAGCTCAGCGCCTTAAATAGGCATAAAGCAGAAGGACCGGATGGATTGCATCCCACCGTGATTCAGCCTCTAGCAAATGCATTAGCGGGACCGGTCACTAAGTTACTTAGGGAGTCCATCGGTCCTTGCAGGCTTCCAGAGGACTGAAAAACTGCAACCGTAGTGGCTTCCACAAGTCAGGCCCCAGACAAAAGGTTTGCAACTATGGGCCGGTAAGTTTGATGTCGGTCTTCTGCAAGTGTCTCGGGCGGAGAGTCAAGAAACAAATATGTTCTTATCTGATGGCTCATTGACTTCTGATTCAGGCCCAGCATGGATTCGTTGAGAAAAGATCGTGCCTGACCTATCTGCTGGCATTTCTAGACGAAATGATAAAAAGAATAGACGCAGGTTGCCAAGTAGAGGTTTCCTACCTAGATTTCAGAAAAGCTTTCGACTCTGTA